CAATATATATATATATATATATATATATATATATATAAAACATATAAATTATATTTTTTGTTTTTCTGTTTCAGAGGGGTAATCTGCCCTGAATTTCAATTGGCCCACTTTAATAAATAAGCAAAATGCAGATATTCAAACAACTTGAAATTTGTAATACATCTGAAACACAGAGTCCACATGTAATATTTTAAGCATCATGAACATTTTATGTCGTATTTAATTTTAATAAGTTCTCATGTAAGACTTATCAATACTTTCCAGTCATATAAAGCAGCGTAATAATGATGCATTATTTGATAGTGTTATGTTCGATCATATTGGATTCAGAACTCCATCTTTTAGATGTAGACATGATTATGCCAGTTTTTGGTTAAATGCACAGAAAATAGTAAGGTATAAGCAAGAAACACATGCCATACAACAGTTATGTTACTTGTGGCAGTTAATGCAGATAAACCTCTGAAAAATTTAGTTCTTCGAGGCATATGAAAATCAAAATAGAAAATGGTGTACTTGAATGTAAATTTCTAAACGTTTTAAACGTAAAAAATAGTACTTTATTTTATTTTAGGATTCTCAGAAACTTTTCCTTTTCTTGGAAACACTGTGTTTCTCAGTAACGTCATATTGGTTCATTTTGTGGGTTAAAGGTTAATATAGTCATTTTACTATTTTGTAACTTGAATAAAGATGTACTACTGTATTTTAAACTTACTGTAGATCTAGAAAGGCTGAAACATGAGTTACAGTCATCCTGGAAACTTAACAAAAATTCTAATACATTTCTAAACTTGTAGAGTTTTGATTTTGAATATTGGTTGGTTAAATTCCATTTGTTGTAATGGTAATCTACATACATCCCGGGTTTTATAAAATGGGTACTATGAATTAATGCATGGTCAATCAGAAATCCCATATTTTGTCTGTGTTTTTTTTTATCATGGTAACAGACAAGATGATAAAGTGTATACAGGCCTTTCATTGCAATTCAGATAGTCTGTTAACAGTTCTGGCTAGACTTCAGAGAAAGCAAACAAAGAACTTCAATTGACAGTGTTTGTATTATATGAACTACTATCATTATGCCCAGCCAAGACACAAGTTTACAGTAATGTGACCTATGGCCTCCTAATTTTTCATATTGCTTGGAAATTTTAGGATGTTTATTGTTGAGGAAGAAGAGACAATCATGAGAGCTGTGTGTACCTTATTTGTTTATGGCTTTTAAAAATATTGTGGTTTCTAGTTAAACATTTTGTTGCTCAGTGATTATATACAATATTATCACCTTTAAACCACTGTAATAAAAAGCCAAAGCCTAAATGCTATTAGCCTTTAGATAATCTGTTCAATTTAATACATATTTAAAGTAATTACTACTAGATCCAGTAAATCCAATCTTAAATTGACTTAATTTCTTTCTTTGAACAAAAATCTGTGGAAAACAGATTATTTGCTTTTGTGTTCCATCTCACTAACTTGTATGGACTTTGTCAGAAATCTCCCTGGTTCTTATGTAGTTATATTTGAATGTATAAGAAATAAATTATATGAAAAAAATGTAGGTAAAATTTGGCTCAGTAACTAGTTATAGATTAGCATGGAGATTCAATCTACAATTTAGTAAAAAATATAGTATAGTTACTTAATGAGAATTACATGGAAAATCTCCATAACATTGTCAGAAAGAGAATATCACATATCTCTTTCATGGATGATTACCATACAGAAATTAAATCACTGTTAGCTAAGGGCAGATTGAACAACCATTTTGATTGGAAAAGTGGAGATAGTTTCTCAATACTTGAACTGTAAAAATCCTCCATGAGTCAATTTATCTAACAGTTTTTTAATGTTGTAGCTGTAGCTACTTGTTTTCAAAACTTTTATTTGTTGTCCTCAGTTGATTGTTCATATGTCTGTATGAATTATTTAATGTAGTAACTAATTCTTCTATTGTGATGATATGTGTTGTTTTTTATTGTGTACATTGTGGTTGTCTGTATGCATCTAAGCATATAAATCCTAGCTACTTTTTGTAAGAATTTGGTATTTGAATGAGCATTTTGCTATACATATTTCAGGTTTTTTTTATTATTATTTTTAATTTGGGTTCGTTGTTAACAGCTTGAGTTTTTGTTCATGCATGTAGTTGTTAAAGGGTTTATTTAAAAAATAAATTTGCTTGTTCTTAAGCAAATTATTGGAGGTTACATGTGTGTTCTCTTGCATTTTTTTTAAGACAGATTTTCTGTACTTTATTGTTTTATTAATGTTTGTTATTGATTTTAAGTTGCTAGTTTGTTTTGATGTTGTGACTTGTATGTTCGTGTAAGAGTTCTTCAATGTGGTGATTCCAGATCTACAATGGTTAGTAACCATACATATTTCACAAGGTCCGGCACGGCATCGGCAGCTGCCGCTTTTGCTGCAGCAACTGCAGGCTCTAGTAATCCTCCTGATCCTTTATCACAACCTGGATCTCGAATGAGTAGTAGGCTTCCTAGTGCAGGTGAGACTTCAACTTCTTAGCAGTATTATATATATATGTGTGTGTGTGTGTGTATGTATGTGAGCTTCTGTTGGTCCATTTTTACAGTTTATTTTCCATTCTGGATGTATAACTAGATTCATGTTTTTGATACACACAAAGTTACAGAATTTTTGTTAAGCTGTACTTTTCATAGCTTTTGCTTCCAAAAGTTCCATTTCTGATAGTGAGAGGTTTGTTAAAATTTATGATCTTTATCTCTATATTTATTCGTTTTCTGATATATTATGTAACAGAAATATGTGTCTAAGTACTATACAAATGCAGCTTTTTAAGTGACAATGATTGTTCCATAGTTTTGTTGTCCTATTGGTAAATTTAACAATTTTTACATAATTTTTATTTTTTCTCAAAACTAATGGTACATTACCTCTCCTCACATAATTAGCTATTCATCGTTCAGTGCTGCCCTCTATATGCAAACAAATGTTTATGCATGCCACAAGCCTTTTGCCTCTCCTCCATTGGAAATGACTCATTCCAATGTGTGTGTCATGCAAATCATCATGCGACAACCTTCCACCAATGAGAGTAACACACACTCTCATTATGCGTGTGACTCCCTCTATTCAATCCTACCAAATTATCACTCATGTTTAGGTGTTTCGTAGCTGTAACTTTAACAGTTGTACTTAAAAAGTAGTTTTTAAATTGTTTTTGATTATACAGCTGACACATTTATTTTCAATTTACTTTCCAGTCTTTATTTTTATTTATTTTTTGCACGTTTATATCTCTCAAACAGTTTGTTTGATTTATTACTTACCATGAATTCTGAGGTTAATGTGACCACTTTGGGTCTCACACCTGCTATAAGCACTTTTCACTGGCTGTGGGTGGGGATGACCCATCACTGGATTTATCTGCCAAGAGATTGATGGATGTATGGGTCAACCACCTTCTCCTGAAGTTGCCCCACTTTCTCACAAACAATCTGAACTGTTCGTTCTGATTAAGGTTTTGATAGCTTTTTCCTACCACTGGATTCTGCTGTGTCTTCCTTTGCTCCACCTGCGGAATCAGCTAGGCCTAATATGGCATTTTTAGATATGATTTTTGAGGTATGTGATGTTTTATCCCTTTCCCCAATTTCCTGTGATCCTCATCCTCCTTTGTTGCATGATAGTTCTTCTTCTCCTTATTTATTTTTCCCACCTTCCCCAGATATTAGGTTCATTCTGAGCATTTTGCCTCTCAGTTGGTTGAGGGTGCCAGCATGCCTCACCCCACACGGCTATGGATCAGTTTGCTATGGCATACCATCATGCAGACAGTCCATTTCTAGACTCTCAGTTGTTGGGGTCTATTTTGCCGGTTTAGGGAACACTCCCTGATTTTCTGGTGCATTTAACCCATGCTCAGTTTTCACGCCTTCATCTTACCCTTACTTCCCTTCTATGGTATTTATCTACCATACATCTCCATTCAGAGGTTATGCACCTAAATCCTGAGGGGCTCATTTGTCATCCTCGGCTCTTGCTTTACATACATGGTTTCTCTGTTGTTGGAATCTTCTGGGTTGTGATATGGCCTTGTCACAAGTTTGTTTACTGCCCATTTATCTCATGGAATTATGTATAGCCTCTTTTCTTAGGTGATATATTTTCGACTTATCCTGGTTGTCGCAGTTGGAATCACGACAAGCCCCTATTCCTGTTTCTCATCCCAGTCCTTCTCAGCCCTTACCTGTTCCTTTTTCCAGGGTTTTCTTTGACGTAGATCAGCACGATGCCAACAGTGACTACCCGGTGGATTCTGGTCTGGTGGGAGCTCAATTGTGCAACTTTGTTCCCCTTTTGGAGATATTTCATCACAGATCTTGGGTTATTCAGGTTCTCTCAGATGGACTTGTCCTACAATTCATTTCCCCTTCTCCTATGTCACAGATACCCATTTCCTTCCATCAGTCTCAGGATTCCATTACCAGTCAGCATCTGTCAGAGGTGGTTCGAGACTTCCTGTCTCAACAGACCATTGAACCTGTTAATTATCTTTCTCTCAGATTTAATTCCAGGCTGTTTGTTGTCCCCAAGAAAACCGGAGACTGGCAGCATATCATAGATTTGTCCTGCCTCAATTGTCCTACAATTCCTTTCTCCTCCTCCTTTGTCACAGATACCCATTTCCTTCCATCTGTCTCAGGATCCCATTACCAGTCAGCATCTGTCAGAGGTGGTTCGAGACTTTCTGTCTCAATAGACCATTGAACCTGTTAATTATCTTTCTCTCAGATTTAATTCTAGGCTGTTTGTTGTCCCCAAGAAAACCGGAGACTGGCGACATATCATAGATTTGTTCTGCCTCAATCTCCCTCGTTTTACCATGGGATCGTTTCTCACCCTCAGGTAGGCTTTTTCTCCAGGTTTATGGATGACCAAGATGGACGTCGTTAATGCTTACTTACATATATTGATAGCTCAGCAGTCATGACCATATCTTTGGTTTGTCCATCGAGGGGTAATTTATAAATTTTGCACACTACCTTTCATGGTCACCCATTGCACTGTCTCAGATATTGGCATTTCTCTGATCTCTCCACTGTGTTTCATCCCACCCCCTTTTCTTCTAGTGGAGTTTGGGAGTCTTTACCGCTTTCCAATTCCAAGACGCTGTGGTGATGGACCATGGATGCATCCTCCTGAATGGTTTAATGACATCAAATTTCAATACAGAAATAACAGTACAGAGTAGGGAGGTGGTGTTCTGCGGGTGTAGGTGATGTGATATCCTTCACTATAATGCATATGTAAACCAAAATGAGTGAGACGTAATATTGCAGTTCACCCCTTCGATTGGGATCCCTCATCCTACCCCCACGTGGATGTTGGTTCCCACTGGCTGGATTTTGGATTTAGAGTAGAACCAATCAACACAAGTCCTCGCATGTCTATCTTCCTCCCTCAACCATACTCCATTTGTGTTGTTGGTCATGGTGGAGGTACTTGGGATTGTTATGGTTCTTTCCCTTCTGCTCTATGTTGATGGATCTGATTCAGAGGAAATTATTGCACCTGGGTTGATTCCAGTCAGTTTCAATGTTGAGGGAGGTGATTTCTCTATTGTTTCTTCCATTGTTTTTTCCCTACACCAATTGGATGTGCTCCTCTGTTTTCCTCCCATATATACAACATTTTTCTAAGATGGACAAAAAGTATACCGGATTCAGAAGTAGTGTAGTCTCCCACATTCAGATCTTCGAATCTGACTTTCTTGTCTCCATGTGTGTCCTTCGAATGCTTCTATTCTTCCCTCCACCTATTCAATGTGGGATTCTACCTAAATTATGTGAGAAGAGGTGATGTACCTTATCGGAAGTTATAATTTTCCTAAACTGATAATGTATTTCCGATAGGTATTTACCTTCTCTCACACTTCCCACCATTCCTACCCACTGAAAACTGGTGCTTCCATTTTATGCCAAAACTTGAAGTGATAATTTGGTAGAATTGAATAGAGGGAGTCACATGCTTAACGAGAGTGTGTGGTACTCTCATTGGTGAAGGGTTGTCGTATGATGATTTGCGATGAGCCATTTCCAATGGAGGAGAGGCAAAAGGCTTGTGGCATGCGTAAAAATTATTTTGCATATAAAGGGCAGCACTGAACAAGAATAGCTAATTATGTGAGAGAAGGTAAAGTACCTATCAGAAATACATTTCAGTTTAGGAAAATTATAACTTTCTTAGTTGTACTGCTTATTCTCTTATGAAATTGATTTAGAATATCTGTAGTACTAAATATTAATTTTACCATTTTAATCATATTGTTTTTCCAGGTTCAAATAATAATAGTTAATCTATGTTAAGTACTTTAGTTAAACATTTAACATGATCAAATTACTTTAAGTTGTAATTTACATTGGTAACTTTAGTTTTTTAGCTCTCTCTCTCAATCAGACATTAATCCTGATTATTTGTTGGTAACTGAAGCAGGTATTAATCTTTTAAACTAAGAGCAATCCTATTTTTTTGAGTATGCTTTCCAACATTCGTATTAGAAAAAGTGATATTTGTGATAGTATTACATCTAATACTATAGAATCTTATTTTTCTGTCTTATAACCTATGGACGTTATAAAGAAAATGGGGCTTTTATCTAGTAATTAAGAGGTTCAACTCTGAACCATAATGTCCTGAGTTTGAATATTACAATATCTCAAATCAACATGAGCACTTTGTATCATAATTCCAACTGAAGGTGAGAGCAGATTTATCTGCCAAAGTAAATCCTTAAAAAAAACAAATCAAATTAAAAAAGAAAAGAAAATAGCAAAGCAGCTTTTGTCAATCATAATGCATTTATGTTTTAAGTAATTCTTGAATTCCAGAAAATAGAAAATTAAATTATGTTTACGATGCATCTAAGAACTTTGTTTAATACTAATTGTTTATGCTTTTGTTTAATTGCAAGTGAAGAATTATGTACAATCAGATAGTATACTGTATTCATTATTTTCATATGATTATTTAGTGGGACCAGATCTGAAAATACCAAATGCCAAAGAAAAGAGGGAATCCATGATCAGTACAGCTGCCACTATGAGAGTGTTAAATGTTCTTAGACACTGGGTATCTAAACACTCTCAGGTAAAGTATATCCATGACTTGTAATTGTGACACTTTGATTTTATATATTCCTTGACTCAAGGTATATATAAACATTCTCAGGTGAAATAGTTCTAATACTTGTATGTCCGTACAAGTAAAGTCTTTTAAAAGTCCTCAGGCATTCTGTGTACGAGTCTATTCAGTTGAAGTACTTTAATTATTGTTATACTGCTGTTATCCATGAGTGCTGCAAGTCTTCTCAACAAAGAATATGCAAACATGTTTTTCAGGGTTTCTGTATTCACTCTGCTTTTGTGTGAGTGTTAACTATACCTAATCTTGGTTATTCAATTATTATAAAGTAAAAAAATAAACTTTCCTGTTTGAAATATAGGCATAATGATGATTGTTACTTCCAACTAAATGGCTACAATAATGGTAGTATTCCGTGTCATGAGAACTTTTGTTTTCCTGTTTTAAATAGTTAATTTTATATTTAAACATTACATGATCTTAGGGTCTCAAAATTGTATACATGACCATAAAATATCTCGATGAGTAACTTGTATGTAGTGATGTACATGTGTATTATGGTAAATTCAGCCTAAAAAACGTAGCTACCAAATGCTGTCTTTCTTCTCTAGATAGTTAAAAGATGAAATTAAATGATCATTAAATATCTTTTATTTTGTATAAACTTGAATTAATGGCTAATTGTATAACTTACCATCATGTATTTTCATCTATAAAAACTGTACTTGTTTTTCTTATCATCTTACCTGCATAAATTTTAAATGTTTTATTTTCTTCATTTGTAATTGTTAAATTTATTTTGAAATTTTTACACACACACACACACACACACACACACACACACACACACACACACACACACACACACACATATATATATACACACACACACACACTATATATATACTACACACACACACACACATATATATATACACACACACACACATATATATATATACACACACACACATACATATATATATACACACACACACACATATATATATATACACACACACACATACATATATATATACACACACACACACATATATATATATACACACACACACACACATATATATATAC